CGGTATCAGGTCCTCATTTTTTCCCCTCCCTCCCTGCTCCCCCCTCCCTCATGAGCCCTTGATAATTTATAAATTATTATTTTGTCATATCTTGCCCTGTCTGACGTCTCCCTTCACCCACTTTTCTGTTGTCCGTCCCCCAGGAAGCAGCATTTTTTGATTGTTCGAACTTTACTGTCAGAGTAGTGGAAAGTGGGGCTTTGGGGCTGCTCAACAATGGAAGAATCACTATTTACTCCTGCGAGGAGCTTCCTGCAGGAGATCGCTTCCAAAGAAAAGTTTAGGCTCAAAGACTGTCTCTGTTTCATTTCATCTAACACCTGATTTATCACTTTCAGTTTCCTTTTCCTAGGACGGAACACCCCAAAAGATGGTTATTTTACGGCTTTTGCAACTCTGACCTCTAATTCTAATTCCTTCTCAACTTCCCTTCCCTGCACTACCTACCAGAGAGAAAGGCCTTTGAAATCCTTCAAATGTAAAAACGTTTCTCTCCCCGTGTACATATTCCTTCTGCTGATGTCTCCTTAAGAACTAACACCTAAAACCCAAACCAAACTAGTTGTAGATGAGTTAATTCCGACTCATGTGGACCCTACAGGACTGAGTACAATTGCCCAAAGTGTTTACAGGTGTGATTTTTCCGGAGGCAGAAAGCCACGTCGTCCTCCCACAGAGCGGCCAGGTGAGTTAGAAGCCAGGTGCTTAATCACTGCACCACCGGGGCGCCCATGAGTTAACACCTACTGCATGTACAAGGGGACTTCAAAGATCATGGAAACATGGAATGAAAATATAATGGAATTTTCCCACGAGTTTCTTGAAGGGGTCTCATACCGTCTACCTGCCTCTTCCAGGTGCATTACCTACGTGAACTGATGTGATTCAGTCCTTCCAAGAATCCTGGGGGTGGATACAGACGAAGAACCTGAGCCAAACAGAGGTGACGGCTGCCGATAGATAGCGGCGTCGGGATAGGAATCCTAGAAGTCAACCTTCAGAGCTTGGGCCTTTAACCTCAACCAACTCTCTTCATCTTCCTCCTCTGGTTTATGACAAAGCTGTTTCCTCTACGTGGCAAACCCCTTTTATCTGCTTCCTTCCTCCTGCCCCTGCCAACTCCTACCCATCTTTAAAGACCCAGTTCAAACCTCCACTCTTCCCTGGGACTGTCCAAGGTCCACTCCAGGAGGCATTTCTCTGCATCCCCTCCCCCTCATCCCGCCCCCATGCCTGGCGTCTGGATTCCAGTCCTCATTATGGACGCCTGGTGCCTTTGTCTCGGTGACAAGCTTCCCTTCCCTCCCAAACATTATGGGAGGAAAAGCGCTCAGTACTGTTCACTGCGGCCTGCACAGACCTAGAGCCCAGGAAATCCGCACATCACATTGACTGACCTTGAAAGAAAGTGCTACTGTCATCGTGTGTCTAAAATACACCCATAGACAGGCATTCTCCTCGAATCATGTAATCATCAAAGAAAAAGCAAACAAACGATACATTTTGTGATAGAAATGTCTTTCTCAGAGCATTGTTAGGTAATCGAGTGATATAAGGCACGTGAAAGTGCTTATAAACTATGAGTCTATAG